TTCCAGAGAGCTGTCTCAGTGGAGGTCACGAACCACATAGGAAAGCTCATATCCCCAACAACAACCTCAACTTTCCTCGCAATATTTTCCAGCCTTACTTTGTTCAATCTCATAGTGGCTGAGTGAAGATCATGCAAGAATACATCCACCAATCTGCCCACAAACAGACAGGCCTGGGGAGCCCAAACCACTTCATTGCCAAAAACTGAAAGTTTTCAGCAATCGAGGCATCCTGGTTGGAGGCACACTGGAAGATGAGAGCGAATTCATCAGCCAAAGAATGATTCAAACACCAATGATTTTCCAAAATTTGATTCTACCCCTTTTCCGACTTTGAGGCTTATTCCCCCATCAAACAAGGGAGCAACCTTCATGATACATATTCCATAAGGAATATGTCACCTTCATGATACTTATTCCCCCATCAAACTAAAACCCCAGTTAGATGGGGGGGTTTTAGTTTTCCAGTTACCCCACTCAACCCCAAATTTAGATGCAATTAGGCTTCTCCACCAAGCTCTCCTTTCAGTGGCAAACCTCCAAATCCATTTACACAGCAGAGCTGAATTTGTCACCTTGATTCTTCTCAGACCTAGACCCCCTTGTTCCTTAGGAAGGCAGATTTGGTTCCAATTCACAAGGTGGATTTTCCTTTCTTCCTCCCAACCCCTCCACAAAAAGTTTTCTTGAAGAGTCTCAATTTTCCTAGCCACTTTATTTGGGATAGGGGAAAGGGAAAGAAAGTAGGTAGAGAGATTAGAGAGAGTACTTTTTGCCTCTCTGACCAACAGCCTAAACTTCCAAGGGATTTGTTCTTGTGAAATCATCCAGCAAATTATTGTTTTGCAATATTCCTCCACCTCCATATTCCTCATTTCCATCATACTCATCAATTTTAGCCCCTAAATCAAGGCCTGAAGTTCAGCCTTTAAAGAGTTATCATATCCAATTGAGCCTGAAAAACCCAGCGGAATATTTCCATTACAGTCCCTGATTACCCCTCCAATCCTGCATTTCCTATGCGGCTATGCCGCACTCAACAAAATTAAATTTAAGCTGGCCCATAGCTGGAGTTGTCCACTCCTTTGATGTTTACTAGCTTAGAACCAGCAATGATTTGCCATCCCTTTAGCAGGTCGTTTAGTGAGACACCCCTGAAATCCTCATGTTAGAGCCCAATGATCAATTCTAACAATATTGAGATCTATTGGTTCCTCAACTCTCCTTGATTTCTCTTCAAATGTTCTTATGTTTCTTTCATTCCACAATCCTCATAATACTGCTGACTGCACATACTTCCATAATATATTTTCTCTTGAAGTGTTGCATGTCAAACTATTTGTGGCATAAAGGCCCAACCAAAGTCGAAGCCTCCTCCCAATTTTTCCGACCAATGAGAGGAAATACCTAGGTCGCATAATCACAATGTAGAAGAAGATGGCTGGTGTTGTCCCCACTTCTCCAGCAGAGAATGCGCATGAGGGGAGACCAGTTTTTCCATTTCCCTTGGAGTCGATCATAAGTGTTAAAAACTTGGTTGGCAACTTATTAACAAAAAAAAAACCCTTTACCTAAGGAGGAATTAGACCACACCAGAGAAATTTAACTAGGAATGGGTGAACCTCATGGGAATGATGATAGGTTTGAAAGAAAGTAGCACATGAAAAAGAGCCATTGGCACTTGGGCCCCACACTTTCATAATCCCAGCTGGAAACGATTTTACTTCTTGTATAGCTTCTAGAAAATAGACCATTTCACGTATTTCAACATATCTCAAAGCTCTCTTCAGCATCAAATCTCAAACCAAACAACTCTCATCAAGTGACACTATTTCAGCAATAGCTTTACTTTTGGAATTTGAGATGTTATAGATCCTAGGAAAGGCTTGGATAATAGTAGAATCACCCGCCAAGTATACTCCCAAAAATTAAACTTTATCTTTGTTCTAGAAATAGCATCATACCTTACAATGTTGTGAGAACATGGAAAGTACAATCAAAATTGCTTTCCATTGGCTCTCAAGTAGAGTTTCTAGCAGGACCCAAGTCCCACTCATTAGAGTGCAGGCCATATACTTTTAATTACCAAATGCCACAATGCCTTAGTTTCTTTGGGGAATAACAACCATTTACCCAACAAAGCCACATTCGTCTCTTGCACTCTTCCTATTCCTAGCCTTCCTTCTTGCATTTGCATACCTCTGCCCATCTCATTAGGTGGTTTTTTTGTCACCCCCTAGGGTCCCACAGGAAGTCCCTCATAATCTTCTCAATCTTATTCACAACTCTCAAGGGAGCTTTAAAAATTAAGAGAAAATAAATTGGGAGGTTAGATAAAGTTGACTTTATCCATGGTTTAAAATGTCCCTAAATTTCCTAATTTTTCCATGACATATTTCCATTTCCATGGGTAGCAACACAAAATTTTACTGCAATTGACAAATTCCCAATGAACACCACTAACACTATGTGCCACATAGTATGTGGAGTACAAGAGATGGTATTGTAACATAATTTGGTGACTATTGTAGATATGTTGGGTAGCAATGTCATTACCTGCAGCGTACATGATTACCATTTTGAGTGGCAATTGTTATTACAAATGTGATACTACTAAATTCTGTCTACCCACTCTAAATCCTCTAAAGAGACCTCTATCATCCATCCTCCTTGGTAACTTGATAATGACCTCCAACACTAAAATGAACAGAAATCAGATATAAAGGATCTCCCTATCTCAACCCTCCAGTTGCCTGAAAGGAAGTCTTTGGGGTTCCATTGATTAGAATTAAGTACTCCTCGAACACCCCATTACCACCTTATCTGTCTCTACCCAAAACCCATCTTTTCCTTCACAGCTTCAATGAGGGAATCCTTGTTATCAAATATCCTGCAGTTTCCTTCCATCCATAAGGTCCAGCATGCAGTAAATGGCACCAAGGACCACTAAAACTTTCCTCTCTTGTAAAAACATTTAGATGGCCGGCTACAAAACAAATCATCAATGTCTCTCAACATTACCCATTGGGCACCAAACAACTTCAGAAAATGAACCCAGATTTTATAAGGGAATGAACAGTGCACTAGCAAATTCTGCATAGTTTCACCTACAGACCTACAATGCTGGCAAGTGTCCCATGCTTCTATCCTTCTTGACAGCAAGTGGTTAATGTGATTATCTTGTCATTAATTGCATTCCAAACAAAGAAACTCACTTTGGATGGAACCCCAGCTCTTCAAATCCACTTCCAACTGACCACTGATCTGCAAAGCCAACCAGCTCCCTGTATAATGACTCTTTTTTTATCAGTAACAGAGTAAATTCATTGAGAGAAAGGCAAACTGCTAAAAAAAAGCAAGCAGTAGGCCAGAACTAGTACAATATCAACAACAATAACACCTAACCAGATGTCACACAAACCAAGAACAGAAAAACAGAAAACAACTTTACAAAGAGCAGCTTACACTGCAGCATTTTGAAACCATGTGAAGAAACCATCACTGCTACCCAACCAGCACATCCAATCTTCCACTGCAGGGTTTGGAATCTGATGGCTCAAAAGCTCCTTCAGAGACAGCAACTCCTCAGTCTCCCAGTCAAAAGCATTCCTTCTGAGCATCCATGATCCATGTCACCTGACCTCCAACACACTCATAATATTCCTTGATAGTTGGATGCTTGCTGACAGCAATTTCAAAAATGCTAGGATGAGAATTTGATAAAAGGCTAGATCCACACCAAAAATACTCCAGAATCAAATGCTTTCACCATTGCCCAGCTTAAGTGCAATGAGATTTTGCAACGAATCCTTCTTCTTCATAATTCCTTTCACAGGCCCAACCCAACTTCACCACATAGGCTTGATTACCCTTCTCCATAATTCATTCTTCTCATCCTCGAACATCAAATGCAATGAACAGAATAAAAAATAAATTAATGGCAACAAAACCTTTCCATGGGTTGGCCAGAGCAACAAAGAAGCCTTAAGTTACTATTCAACCATTTGTATTCACCCTCTTCTTCCTACCAATTACTACAGTCCATAGAAAAGATAAGTAGAATCCTCAATAACCATTTCCTTTAGATGGCCAAATTTCAAAGGAAAGGAAAAAAGAACATAAAACAAAACGACCTATTACACAGGTCCTTCCAATTCACCAATTAGTCCTGAATCTCATCACACCCCCCATAGAAAATTCCTCTGCAATTATTTGATTCGACTCATAAACTCTGTAGGGATCCTAAAATCCACACTTGACTAAGCAAGATGCCAACAATATTAACATCAGTAACTTTTAGGTAAGAAATTGAAATACACTCTTCCAGACATTCAGCCAAATACATGGAAAACATCCATGGTGTTCTTTCCTCTAAGTTTCAAGCATGACCTCATGATGAGAGAAGAAGGTCTAAGTAACAAAATAGGTTGGAAAAGGTTTAAGAATATTCATATTGTTGGTGCAAATTAATCTTTCTTGGACCCCTTGAACATTGTGTTCTCTTGTTTCCTGAAACAGGATATTAAGACAATGGGTTTCTCTTGCACAAGGAAGGTGTGAATACAGATTTTGTGTATCTCTATATAGCATTGCTTTGCATTTTTTGGAGGCTTCATGCATCCCTTCTCTCTAACTTAATTTTGTGTTGAAAAAGAAACTAGCAAAAGACTCCCACACTAAATTTCTTGGGTGCAGACAAAACTGCCTTTGCAATAGAGGCAATAGATATGACATTAACTATGCCTGGCTGTGGTCCATAAAAGAATAGTACATTAGTTGGATATTAGGACTATCTGTAATTTAGACTCTCAAGTATGCACTAATAGTCTAACTAATTTCAACCTCCAAAGTACCATATAAAACCCTCTGAACTGCAGTAAATTCTGAAAAAAAATTGAAAAGAAAGGCTAAGACATGAAATTCATTATGTGGCATTGTGGCTTACATAGTTCATTTTCAGCAAAGCAGGAACCATATTATGACACTATCAAAATCAGTACCTGTTCTTTCATCTTGTCCTGGAAAGTAGATGGCAACATGTTGGGGAATAATTTCAGGAATACCGGCAGTAAGAATTCCATAAATGGAACTATCACAAAAACTGCAAAAGGAACTAGCCTGAAAATGTCGGCTGTAGTACGTGTCAATTGTTGCCTCTCCCTCCTAGAGAGACTCTTCCCACTGGCAAGTTTTAGGAGTAATCTAGAACTGATCCTAATATCAACCCAGAGTAGTTTGGTACCCAACCAATAATGTTGCATAGTTGCCTTAAATTCATCTTTCCAATAACGAAGCTTCTTGGCCCAGTCCTCCCTGAAAGATAGAAAGAAAATAAAATGAAAGCAAATGCCAAGATAAGAAACCAAGTTTAAAAGTAATACAACATAAACAAGATGGTTTGAAACCTGCTCATAGAAGCAATAGCCCTCAATGCAGGACCAATCCCCAACAGAGTAGCGCAGACTCTCTGTAGTATGGACTTCGCACTCTTTTGGGATTCTTGCAACTTCTTAGCTTTTGCTTTAGCCTTTGCTGAGCTCAAACCTTCAACAGCTTGATCACATTCCTCAGGGGATGCCTCCTTTTTCTGTTTAGCAACCTGTTCTTCATTTCCTTCATCTCCAGTGCTGAATTCGGGTTGTCCGGCTGTGGCTGTGGATGCATTCCTAATAGATTGCGACATCCACCTAACTGCCAATGTGGATGTAAACTCCGATCTTCCATTTCCCCACCCCGATATCGGAAATCCAAAAGAACTCTTCTTAACGAATCCAGCTGCTGAAAAGTTAATTAATTCTTCTTTGGCCACTGAACCAACATTCTCCTCCCTTCTACGGTCAAACTCTGCGGAAGGATGGTGAGACTCCCACGTCGAAATCCGTGAATCCAGATACTGAGCTGTTCGACCATGCCCAAAACTCGACAGACCTTGAATCGAGCGAGAGGGTGTGTTGAGGCAATCGAAAAGGAACCTTTTCCTTCTGAGAAGTGCTCTGGAAGCCATTGTTGATACTTTCCCCCCTCCCAGAGAGAACTATGGTCATATCTCTTACAACCCCGCCCAATTAAGCTGGTAAGTAGAACAGACCCAGAAGAACAACCAAGCTCATGAGCATAACCAACATATAAAAAACAAGCAAACCCACAACACAGAAATAAACAAAAACAACCAGGGTCCTATCAGACTGCAACTGATTTGCTTCTAACAGTTATCATGTTGCTTCTAACCAATATATTAAATCTTCATATGTTTGTTTGAGGAAAAATATCATCAGAAAGGTACTGCAGATACTGACCTTTCGATAATGGAGGCGCTTGCTTAGTTGCTTATTCCTCTGGACTATAAAATGATCGATATTCGACGAGAAATGAATTGAAGAACGAGATACCAAAAGACTAAAAAATGGCGAAGGATCTTGGAGAAGAAGAAATTTATATGCAGTATTTTCAGAGAGAGAGTGGTCTCCGAGTCTCTTCATGTAACGAGGAGGGTTTTAGAGTCCAACACATTGCTGGCTACATCCACCCAGCCGCACATATGGAACATCGCTTGTGCTGTGGTCACTGATATTCTCGATGTGCGGCAGGATGACCGTAGCTAGCAAGGTGTGTTGGTCAGCAGATCCGAACTCTTTTTCTCACGTTAGCCTTCTTTGACTCTGGTCACAAAGACACAAACCAGCCGCCGAGCCGAGCTCTACCCAACTCAGCACACGCAGTCACACTCGTGACTCGCCCCGTCGTCCACCACCACCTAAGGGCAGGGGGGCCTCAGGCGTGGGCCGCGTGGCTCGGGCTAATCTCAAGCACTGACTCGGCTGGATCAACTCGTTGAGTGATCCGAATTTCGAAGCAACACGGCAGGCAACACAATCATTCGGGTTAAATAGAGGGGTTCGAATAGTTCTGATGGTGGATGGAATAAACTTTTAGAATTGGAAAGGATTCGATGCATCGCAATGTTTTGTTTGTGATTGCATGTTGGAGATGGATATCCTCACACAACAACTTTCTCGAGACTCTCAACTCCTAACATGCTTTCAATGTGGTTGCAACCTCTGTCCCTCAGGCACAGAATTTTTCTGTCCATCCAATGACAATCCAAAAGCCACCTTCTCCTTCTTACATTTAAACCGAGGGAGTCTACACTTAAAAGTATGGACATCAAAAAATTATGAAATCCAATTGAACCGCCCCACATTGACCTAACCAGAACCACTTCTTACTCTTTTCTCATTCACTCTCCTTCTCTTCTCCTCCCTCTCCACCACCCACCCCAATACAGTACCGAAATAAGTGGTGATGTATTGGGTTTTATATCTTAGGATGCATTTGTTTGAAATGCAAATTCATTTTTACACCGATGAAAAAGGTGATGCCGGTTCAATGGTCGAATGGATTTGAATTTTTACAGTGATGACGTTTGGTTGTCACAGAGTAAAAGTAAAGCTTTCCACTTTGTTTCTGCTCTGAAACTCTTCCTTCCACCGAACCTAGTTTTTGCTTTGTGGAAGACTGGAACTCTCCTAGAAATTCTCCTAACTTTTGTTTCTACGTTTCTGCACAGAGTAAAAGTAAAGCTTTCCACTTTGTTTCTGCTTTGAAACTCTTCCTTCCGTCGAACCTAGTTTTTGCTTTGTGGAAGACTAAAACTCTCCTAGAAATTCTCTTGGCTTCTGTTTCTACGTTTTTTGTTCTGAAACGTTGGAAACTTTGTTTCTGATTCTGTGTTTCTGTCTTGCAAATCTTCCACTATTTTTGTGTTTCTGCATTTCTGCCTTGCAAATCTTCCACTCTTAAGTGTTGGAAACTTCCACTCTGTTTCTGTGTTTCTGCTCTGAAATAAACCTGGCTTCTGTCTTGCAAATTTTTCACTCTGAAACGTTGGAAACTTCCACTCTGTTTCTACGTTTATGCTCTAAATTTCTCCTAACTTCTGTCTTGCAACTTTGAAACGTTGGAAACTTCCCCTCTATTTTTGCATTTCAGCTCTGAAATTCTCTTGGCTTCTATCTTGCAAATCTTTGCGGTTTAATACAGTCTACAGATCTGCAACACTGATGGTGGAGTCTTCATCATTGGAAACTTGATTCTCTACTCTACCATGGAACACCAACACAAGTGAGATATCCAAGTAACTGATCAGAGAAGGAGGAGAACTGCTTCTACTATTGTCGGAAGTTGCAGTGGCAGGTAGGTAGGAACATACGAGAGTGAAACCATCGAGGAAGAAGAATAAGTTGGAGAGAGTGTGTGTGTGTGTGTGTGTGTCCATCGAGTTTTGAGAAGATGGAGTTTTACATTGGTTTTATCAGTGTTAACTTTCCACCAATTTTCGATGTAAAATTTACCTAAAGTGGAGTTTTACACTCATCTACGATGTAAAATAACATCTCATCCAAACGTTAGCAAAACTAAACGGAGTGTAAAATTTACCCCGTTCACATTTACATCTTAAACAAATGCAGACTTAGGTGATTGCTTTGTGTGAATGGAAAGGACTACCATTTTTGGCTTCTTCACCGGTGTTCTACTTGGCAATCACTCAATATGAACTGCTCTGGCATTTCGATGAATCCCAACCAACAAAATACTTTCCCATGCTTCATAAACCTTACCTTATTTGAAAATGGCCCAAGCAAAGGAATGGCATGGGTGTTTCATAAACCCTTACCAGGCCTTTGTTCCAAGCCTAAACCATGTAAAGAAAAGTATTATGCTAATCTTAATGGAGGTAGTTGCGATGCCACAACCAATGGGGTATCTGGGTGGGTCTATTTAGAAGAGATTCCTTTGTTTTTATCAGTATAGTAATAAAATGAACTTGATTTTTGGTTATGTGGTTGGTCCTTCTATACACCATCCAAGTACTAGGACTCCTAAACCAAAGTTCTTTTGCCACTGTTAATTACCTTAGCTATGGTCGCTTATTGTCGTCTACACTTTTTTCAGGCTTGTCAGCACCTTATTTTTGTTCGGTTTGCTGTCTGAACCTCCAATTTACCCCAAACACCTTATCAAACCCTTTTAATCTCTCTAAAACACCAAAAACCCCTCCAAGAAGCCAAATTTCAGCCCAAAAGCCCTCAAATCCATTGTTAAATATACTCAATACCAAACTGATGGCCCCGATCAACCCCCATTTACACCTCAATCATTAGATCAAACACCACCATCAAACTAAAGACCTCCCCAAAAACCTACCTAGCAAATATCAACACAAAATTCCTTCACCTACCCTCTCATCAGGCGAAGATTCCATTTCGACCCTTGCCATTAGCCTAAAACACCCACAACCTAGATCCCCTTGATCCAAACACATCCGAGCCCATCAAACAATAAGATTGAGCCATAAACACACAAAACACCTGCCTATAAAGTTTTAACCCAAGATTTCCTCGTTTACCCTTCCGTCAAACTAAGATTTCATTTTAAATCATCTCGTTGATCCAAATTCCTATGATCTTGACACTCCTAAATCAACCAGATATTACCACCAAATCCTCGACACCCTAAAATACCCACCTGTAAAATTTCAGCCCAAAATACCTTCGCTTACCCCTCCATCATGATAAGATTCCATTTTCAAAGCTCTAGATTGACCGAATAAAACACTTTCTAGATCTACCCAATCTAGGCCCAATTGGGCCAATCTGACCTTATCAATCAACCTAGAATAATCAGAAACCCTACCCTTCCAAATTTCAAATGAAAATACCCCTATTTGCCCTTTCATCTAAAAAGGTTTTATTTCGGCCAATTGAACTAACCCATACACATAAAACCCTTCTTTATGATAGACTCATCCCGTCCAAATACTTTCCCACCAGAAATCCCGTACATCCATATGAAACCGCAGTTGACCCACGTATCCCAAAATTACAAAAATACTCCTAAACTTTCCAAAAAGTATGAAAATGCCCCTGGATCCTCGTATAAATTTAACCGAATATTTTGATTTGCCCTAATTCCAAGAATTCGATAAAGATGATTCATTCCCTCCTTCCTTCGAACCCAAAACCAAAGCGGTGGCGAACCCACTCCACTCTCTATATTCCCTGCCACATATCTCGTTCCTTCTCCTTTTCTCCCTCTTTCTTTCTACTCCTGCCCCTTTTTTTTGTTTTCTTCTTCCTCTCAGCTTCCCCCCATTTATTCCCTTTTCTTGATCGCCGCTACAACTCTTGGTAGCAGCGACCTGCCCGACTTTCCCATCTCTCTCTCTCTCTCTCTCTATATATATATATATATATCAATTTAATCCCCTAAATACATATGTCCGAATCATCGAAGAAGCACTATTCAACTTCTTCATTTCAACCGAAGAAGAGGAGTAGAGCTGTAGTGAACTAAGAAGAAGAGATGGCTTGTTCAATTCCTCTCTTTTGTTTCACTATGATAGATATGTAGATTTGGCTCGAACCCATTGGTTTATTTTGGTTTTTTGATTGCTAATGTTTTTAATATCTCCCAATGATTGTTTTAACAAAATCTATTAGTTGAATCTATCGAATCCAGTTTTCCTGGTCATTAGTGGTCATCATCAATACTATTCATACTCTCTGGCTCTACTCTATTTATTGAATTTCAAAATCCTTTCAAGTAGAGTAGTTGAAAGATGTTGAATACTAGTAGATCGTTTGGTTCCATCTACTCTTAGTAGCTTTATCAACTGATGTCTATAATCACTGCTATGTTTAAGGTGTGTGAAGCATGTGTTTATGTTCTCTTAATCGTGAGTGTTTGGTTTAATATTAGATTCTATTATGAAACGCTTTGTGATGTTTTGTTCCTCTATTATTCTCTTAGTCATTTGAATAATTGCTATTTCTATTTGTGTTCATTGATGTCCTATGTGGGCCCCACCTATTGGACCCGGGAGTGGGGTGCCTAACCCCTTCCCTCTCCTATCCAAGTTTTACCCAAACTAGTGTAGCCGGTGTCTTGTGCTTTGGAGTCACTATTTGATAAAAATGTTTTTTTGATGCCCTTTACAAAGATCTCATCACCTCCACTTCCTAATCCGATGGGTGGTGACTCCATTTCAGCCCAAGTGAGTCATTTTTCTATGCTCATAGGGCTTATACTCAAAAAGCGATTACTGTGAATGTAAGTACGTTCAAGTTGAACAAGCAAGGCTCGATTAGATTCAAATCATATGTTCTAAACTTTGTTCTTACAAAGAAAATAACTAAAGGAAATAAAATAGGAAAAATCCTTTCATAAGAAAACAATTGAAATCGCATTCTGTTTCACGCCATTATGGGATTCGACCTAGGTTAATTTCGAAGGGAGAAAATTGATAATTCTATGGATTCATCAATCAAGACTTTTCTGTTCTGAAAGGAGGGAGGAGCGAAGGGATTCAGGAGGGAAGGTCCTTTAAATCAAAACAAGGGCAAGAAGCAGGAGAAGGAAGAAAAAGAGAATCGGGGGAAAGCAAGATGGAGTAACAGTTGCCAAGTCTCCCATTTCTTGCATGGGGAGAGCAAACGTGACGTGTTGGAATTCTATTGGTGGGAACAGAAAAATTTCTGTCCCAAGGGGACAGACAATGCGAGCTCACTTCCAATATGATCCATGTCACCACATCTCCTATATGGTGGGTTCCACATTCGTGTCCGACTGTCCGCACATCTCTTGTATGGTGAGTTTCGGTCTTATGGTGAAATGTGCAGATATGGATCTTGCTGAAAGAGTATTGCAACAATATTTGTTGGGATGAGATCTCAAGCCGTTGTCCAAGGCAATTTAAGACAATAATATATTCTCATCCATATCCAATGAATTCACGTATGCACCCCACAGTATATCCCAACGGTCTATTGTTGGGATCATCTCCCACTGATGACTTTGAGAAATGTTCTCAATGCACATTGAGATGTGCATGTGGGGCATTTGTAGGGCGTTCTCTATGGGGTGCAAATGTGATCTCCCATACAGCACCACCCCCGTGTAATGGGAACAACTTGTGGGTAATAGATCTGAGCCCCCGGTTAAGATGTTCTACTTCCTAGATGAATTCCTCAGAAAATGTCTCTACATATGTGCCTTTGTCGTTGGTTTCATTTGCAGGAACTTTCACCATTCTTTATTTTGTATCAATTACTTTTGCACTTTTTTCTATTGTGATTACCAAGTACGCCTTCATTTACAGGAGCTTTACTTGCATCGGTTCTTTGCTTGCCTCTGTTTTGTTTTGTTTTGTTTCTCTCTATATATATATATATTTCCATTGCATCTGAACAAGTTTGAATCTTGCTTTGACCATGAAAATGGTTTCCTCTGCATTTTTTGCCTCAGGAAGAAGTTGAAAACTCAGTTGTCCAACTGGTAATCGGGCCATTTCCTTTTTCTTAATATAGGCGTAAAGCCCATTGTGTCAACAAATCTAATTCAGGACCCAAGATCCACCCAAGGCATTCTTGATTAAGGTTAACAAAACCCAAAACTCACTTTCCCCCTATCACTACAATAGAAATGCGCATCAACGACACTTTCCCCCTACCACCCAAGGCATTCCCGCTCTGCCCCTCTCTCTCTCTCTCTCTCACTCACTCACTCAATCAACCATTTCTCTATGCTCCTACTCTCACAGTCTTCCCTCACCATCGAATGACATCTAATCGGCGATTCGTATCTCAGTCTTCCCACACTATCAAATAAACACCCAACAAGCGACATCAACGACAATGACAAACTTCCTTGGATCTGAAGTTTGAGTTCATTTCCCAATGACAACGGCAACGACAAACCACTCCTTAGAGTGTTGTAACAAGTGGAAGACCTCCTTTGATTTGAAGCTCAAGTTCATTTCCCGACAGCAATGACAACGACAGACCACTTCTTGGAGTGCAGTAAGAAGTGGGAGACCTTGGATTTAAAGCTTCATTTCTTGACGTAGATGATTTATCATAATTAGGCCACAATCTTCTTGATTTAACGAAGGCCCTCTCTCTCCAGCAACCGTGTTGGATTTTCTTTGTTCTGAAATAGCCTCATCGTCTCAGGTTCTGCACACATCTCACATCCTTGTTGGTTCATCACCAACAGATGGAAAAATTGAAAGCCTCCATGACCTAGGATAGTTATCCCCCTTTTCAGGATTGAACTTTTGTTCGTTCATCACATTCTTACTAAATCTGGTGTTATCTTTTCGATTTTTTTTTATAGATTTGCTTAAATTTTTGTAAGTACGTAAATAGTGGAATCATGTTGATCAAGTTAAGGGATTCAAGTGGCTGGACAGACCTTTATTTTTTAGCAAAGCTTTATCAAAGCTCTCACTGTACTACCCTTCAGTCGATAATTAAGATTGCCTATTTTCTGCATCTTGCTCTTCCATAGTAGGCGATAATTCCTCAGTAGGTGACTTGTTATGTTCTTTGTCGCCATCCTAAAAGATTAATAAGGAAAAGCAAGTGGAAAAAAAGAGAAAATATTTGTGCGTTAACCAGAAAACATATCATGTAATAGTCAATGTAAAAGCTACAAACAATGCTAGTATACAATTGATTTTGCTTGCTCATTGAATTAGAATGGACTAGGATTGGGGGTCAACAAAGTCCTTGGGGTACAAAACCCTCCTACCATAAATTTTCTATCAGCTGTTGCGGGTCCCCAAACACCCCACTCTGTGACTAGTGATTAGTAATAGAGGGCTTGAGGAACAATTTTGGATGGGTGTTCCCGTCTGCATCTTGGACTATGGAAATCATTCTATTGGTAATTCTTCTCCAAGGAAGGATTCCCAAGATCTTCTAGAGGGATAGCACTCTTTAGTAATGGTGAACTTTTAAAATATGAGTGTTGCTCACTCCCCTTAGAGGAAAATGGTGGGAATCTCCTTATGAAATTTCACTCTTATGTTGCACAGTCTTTGCTAATCTAAGGAGGGTGAACATGAAAAAATTCTGTTATGTTTTCATGTGATTCTGTTTTCTCAGTCTGATCCCTCTCCTCCCTTGCACGAAAAATCCTTGTGAAGAGCCCTTATAACTAGGTAATTTGCACAAAATCATTTGGCTTTCATATACCTTTGCCTCTAGTTTTGTATAACTTTTGAATTCCAATAGAAGTGGCAGTACTTACTGAGTAATGCATCATTCAACATTCCAATACATGAGGTGTTCTCTCTCTCTCTCTCTCTTTCTCACTCTCTCTCTCTCATGATGATGATATATTGATTTTTTAAGCAATTTGAGGAGTCTTTTTTTTTTTTTTTTCTTACATTTGCAATTGAAACATAAGATGCCATTGCTGCAGATAGAATTTTAGGTATGGGCCCTTGAAAAAGGATATCCAATTGCTGCCACAGATATTGTTGTTGTGTGACTTGTGTCTTGCCATGGCCTCAGAGCATCTTTTAGTATTTAATTATGGTTTGTACCACCCTGCAACAAATTTTACTGGTCCTCTATATGATAAACATGGGGGTTCTAGGTATTTTAGAGATAAATACATGATTTATTGTCAACGTTTGAACATTCCAGTCAAAGGACAAGTTCAGGGGAACTGGTAGTGTCTCATCTACAATTTAATGATGTCGCAGGTATATATATATAAAGCACCTATCAATACAGATCAATACACCCCATCTGACGTATCGGCCTCTATCAATATTTAGAACCTTGATTATAATAACTGAGGATATTGATTATTTATATAAATTAGAAAATGAAAGGGAATATAAAAAAATACCGAAAGAGAAGGGTCTTTGCCATTCTGCAACAATAAATTTCTGCACCAATAATTCTAGCAATTCAGCAATTTCCTCAAAAGCCAAAGATGTATTCACTTATCAGGCCCCTTCAAAATAGAAGAAAAGACAAATGAAGAATGAAGAGAGATCCATCATATACAAGTGGTGTTTATGATGATATGAAAGGGTAGCCATGTCTAAATGAGAAATAGTTCACTTGGAAAAAAATTGCAAACCCATCAGAAACTTAATGGAGGATGGAGAGTTTCCATACAACAGTCCAACCGAATAGGGGTGATGGAGGAGAAATTTGTTCCTGCTGGGCGATGGAGAAGAATGCTAAAGGTAGGAGCAAAAACTTTTGTGTTCGAGAGTTACAAATCAAGAGGGAACTTAGCATTGAAGATTAGGGAAACCAATATGGCGATGGTTCTACTAGTAGGCAAGGAGGTGATTGAATGGTTTATGGTGTTTTTGGAAGGAGCTTTTACAGACTGGCAGAAACTCTGTGTTCGAGAGTTACAAATCAAGAGGGAACTTAGCATTGAAGATTAGGGAAACCAATATGGCGATGGTTCTACTAGTAGGCAAGGAGGTGATTGAATGGTTTATGGTGTTTTTGGAAGGAGCTTTTACAGACTGGCAGAAACTCTGTGTTCAAAGATCCAAGGGTAGGGGAAGAAAGAACTTAAAATCTAAAGACAGGTATATCACTCTTTATGGACTCTTTGGTCGAGGGAAGAAGCAAAAGTGGTTTGTTTCCCAGAAGGAAAAAGAGGGGAAGGTTGGAAGGAAATCACATATACTTTGAGGGAGGTTTTGAGGCAGGAGAAGAAGGCAATGAAAGACAAAAAAGCAGAAAACATGAAAACTAATAAACGAAGGAAGAGGAAACTGATGATAGAATATGGGTTATGACAGGCAAAGGAGGTTTATTCAGAATCATAGCAAATTGGGAGTGAGGCGACTGGAAAAAGAAGCTAGTGGTTCAGACAATGAAACAACCATTAGATTGGAAGAAAATAGCAGAAAAAATAATCAAGGACTTACAACTGAAGGGGGCGGTAGTAATAACTCCCTTTGAAAAGAAGAAGGCTTTGCTAGAATTAACAGAAGATGTGGTAGATGTAACTACCTTGAGTATTGCGGGAAGTTCTGGCAGCTTCACAGTGGCAAAATGGAGCCCATTGTCTAATGAAAGAAGTTTTACGATGGAAGATGGGGTAATTGTTCGTGTTCTTGGTCTCCCATTCCACCCGTGGAAGGAAGAAACCTTCAGATCATTTGCTTTATTGTGCAGTGCAAAGCTGGATAACATCTTTGCAATAGACCTTCACTCGGCAGCTATTTGCTTGAGCGGGGTCAGACCTGAGGAAATCCCAAGGAAAATTTTAGTTGCAGATGATCAACTGGTGTACTCAGTTTGGTTGACAACTGCCATTGAAGCTGCGTTGTGGAGAGCTGCTAGAAGGGAGGAAGACGAAAGGTTTGAAGAAGAGTTCCTACGTGACAAAAGCCAAGTGGTCGAAAGTACTGCGATTGGAAAATACTCTGAAATGGCAAAACAAGTCCTGGGTAGTGGAAAAGGCAAGGGCGCAGGAGAGGAAATGAAAGTCCAGGGACCGGAGGAGTTTTGACGCGTGGCGGATCTTATGCTGAGGCACTGACTGGTGGTGGTGGAGCTCGTCGGCATGGGAAGCAGGCCCATTTTCAAATTTTGAGTAAGACTTTGGGTCAGCCTTTAGGCGGTTCAACCTTGAACCGGGCTGGTCTTACTGCGTCAAACTTGGCATGTGTCACCTTGAGTGACCATGGGATGATTAAAACTGGGCCTGGCCTTGTCCCTTTGAGGCCCACAAATGAATTACTTTCGGATCTGAATCTGGGCCCAACTCATGGGCTTCAAAAAAATACTTCACTTGAGCATTTAAAAGGGCACATGATATCAAAAGGAGGCCCAACGATAGACAATAAAATATGTCTATCATCATCTTCCTCGATCAAGTTAGGAATGCAAAGAAAGCCGTTGTGTGACAATGGGGCAACAAAGATCGATGCAATGGGTATCTAGCAAAGGTAAGAGGGTTGAATCTCCTGAAAAGCATAACCCTAGATTTAACAGATGCAGTAGCAAAGGAAAGGAGCGATGTCAAGATGAAGACTCAGATTTTGACGACAGAAGCAGCGATCACGATTCAGACTGTGACTTAGAGTCCTCGGAATACTCGAGCTTAGGTAGCATTGTTCAAACTGTGAGGATCGACTTATATGAGGCAGAGAGCTTCGACACAGAAGAGTTGTTCCCGGAAGAAAGAGAAGACAATCAGGCTCCCGAGAAGTTAACAAAGTTAGTCAGGCCGGTGGTGTGCTTAGTCGAAGTTGAACAGGCTACTTCTGCTCCTATTACAAGGAACTTACCCCCAAGCTCTCAGCAAGGACAAGGATCACAGGAAGTGAGACAAGAGGATATTAGGAAGGTTTGCATCGAGGGAACAGAGAAGGGTGTACTGGAAAGGCTTCTGCTGCAGACAGAGTTGAAACCGATCTCATTCCCACTTTACAACAACCTTTTTTAAGGGGTAGGTCAGATGCCTTGACCCCCAACCAGGGTGTTTCCCCCTTCTCTGATTTCTCGAATCTTGCTACACCTGCTTTGGGCCCAGGTATGTACGTCAATTCAGTTATGCTTACTAATGTGTGTGCTCTGCCTGAAACAGATACACCAGATTCCCAGCTTGAAGAGTTGAGGAGAAAGGAAGAGGTTGTAACAGCAAGCCAATCTGAAAGGGTAGTAGAAGAAGGGGGAGTGTTGGGAGCAAGAATAGGGAAGGGAGAAGCAGGAAAGGACCTCAAAAGAATGAAAGAAATAGCTGAGGAGAATAATCAAGAAGTAGATAAATTTGGACTTTGTCCCCCTCTGGGGCCTTTTCTTGTGCTTCTTTCTTTAAGTCCTTGGCACAACAGACCAACAATTCTATCTAGTCTTTCCCAGTTAAGGAAATATGCGTAAGCCGATCCCTCCAAGGATTGGAGCTTTTTGTTGGGAGGCATTCCTAGAAAGATGTAACACATGTGATTTACTCCAGAAAAAAAAAGGCCAAATTGGTGCTTGTCCCCAAACCAGTGCACCCTCTGCAAGGCTAATGGTGAAAGCTCCTATCACTTACCAATTTCCTGTCCTTTTGTTTCTAATATATGGGAATGGTTTATTTCTTTTTTTGGTTGCAAGTGGACCCCTCCACTAAATATGCGAAGCTTGTTTGCCACCTCTTTCCTTAGTTGGCCTAAGAAAGGGTAGGGTTATGTAGAGGTGTGGGGGCTGCTATTTGCTGGACTATATGGGAAGAGAGGCTCTAGGACCTTTTCTGATAAGGAAAGGAACAAATAAGGTAACATTGAGGTAATATTGGTTAGGTCTTGTCTACAAAATAATTGCTAAGGTCTTGTCTTTGAGGATTAAAGTGGTATTGCCCTCTCTCATAAGTCAATCTCAAGGAGCTTTTGTTCAAGGGAGACAAATAATCGACCAAATCCTAATAGCCAATGAATGTGTAGAGGAAATGAAGAAATTGGACCTAAAAAAAACATATGATTTGGTGGACTGGGAATTCCTATTAGAGGTGATGCATCAACGTGGTTCTGGAGAGAAATGGTGTCATTGGGTGTTTGGTTGTATTCAGTCTTGTTAATGGAGTGATGAAAGACTTCTTCCCAGCTTGTAGAGGCCTAAGGCAAGGGGACCCTCTCTCACCCTTCCTCTTTACTTAGTGGCTAATGTGTTCAATAGACTCCTGTCTAAAGCTGATAAGGAAGATGAGATTAGGGATTGGAGAGTGGGCAAAAACAGTGTTCCAATTACTCACCTCCAATTTGCAAACGACATCATAATTTTTTGTGAAGGGGGTGATATTAGGAGGGTGAGGAGATTAAAATATTTGATCAAGAAGTTTGAAGGGATCCCAAATCTGAAAATCACTTAGGTAAGAGTTGCGTAGCAAGGGTTAACATGGAGGATGATGACTTAAACTTGGTGGCGGGTTGCTTAGAGTGTCCTATCACCCCTTGGCCGTTGACATATTTAGGTCTTCCTTTAGGCGCCAACCCTAAGGAAAGTAGATTATGGAACCCAATTGTATAAAGATGTGGGAAGAGATTGGCAGCTTGGAAGATGAGCAATATTTTACTAGGAGGTAGGATCACTCTAATAAGATCAACTTTAGCTAACCTACCAATCTACTTTCTCTCCGTGTTTAGGATTCCACCAAGGGAAGCAAAAAAAAAATTAGAAAAAATCATGAGGGATTTTCTTTGGGAGTCGGGAGAGTTTAAAAAAGACCACCTAGTTAATTGGGAGATTGTGTGTAAAAACAAGAAAGAGGGTGGCTTAAGAATTGGGAGTGTGTGAAAGAAGAATATGGTTCTATTAGGGAAGTGGTCATGGAGATGGCCTTTAGAGTGGGATAGCTTGTGCCATGAGGTGGTGGGCAATATTCATAGAAGATTGGAGGATCAATCTCTAAAGGTTTCGTTTCTTTCTTTGTATTCCATCTCCCTGTATAAAAATGAGAGCATCTCAGTCTTTTTAGTACCTCCTATTTTGCCTCTAGGTCATAATTAGAATTTTGGGTTTCGAAGGGGATTGAGGGATGAAGAAATCACCTGTTTGTCAGAGTTGTTGTTGCTTCTTAAAAGATTTTGGTTAGAGCCTCCTAAACCAGATAGAAGGGTTTGATGTCCAAGTTCTAAAGGTCTTTTTTCCTGTGCCTCTTTTTTTAATACTCTTTGCTAGTCCCCTTTCCCTCTTTTCTTTCCTACTAAAGGAAGTTTGGTGCCAATCGATTCCTCCAAAAATTAAGGCTTTTTGTTGGGAAGTGGCTTATGGGAAAGTTAACACTCTGGATTACCTACAAAAGAAGAGGCATTTTCTGTGTATTTCCCCAAATTAGTGCACTCTATGTAAATCGGATGGTGAATCTTGTTACCATTTACTAATCAATTGCTCCTTTGCTGCAAATATTTGGGAGTGGTTTTTCTCTTGTATGGGTGCAGGTGGAACATGCCAAGGGAGATTAAGATGTTTGATTTGGCTACCTTTGTGTGGCCAAAG